TATTTGCTGTTTGCATCTTTTGATATTTTAGGTCACATGACTTTTTCACGAGTCCAATTGTAATCTGCTTTCAGCTGTAAAATCACATATACTTGCTGTGCTTTTTTGAGGGTTTGGTCGTACATGCACTTGTGGTCTTGTGCGTGTATGTACATGTAATAGATGTTTGCAAGAAAGCAACTAGTTAATATAATAACATGGCATGCGGATTTTGCTCTATGGATATGCCTGTTTGTACACTTAACCTCCTAATGTTGATATTTTAGTGTCAAGGAGGAAGTTCCAAGGAGAGGCTCTTTTCTTTTTTCATCAGTGCTGATGGGTAAGTTTCCTATCTTTGATCTTAATCACTAAAGCAGGCATCCTTAATTTTTTTACCTTTCACTCTTCCTGTTTTATATCTGGCTTTCTATTTTCTTGGCATTCCTTCTTAATCTTGTAGAGAGTTGGCAAGTTGGATGTGTTTTAGAGTTCCATGTGGATGGAGAGGTTCCGTACGGGTATTATCATTTTTCAGCAAATACATATATGACTACCACCATCAAGCATTGCAATTGGAACTCCACTTTTTGGCTGTTGTCTGTCACTGTTTATTTGCAGGCTTTTGAGGAGTGCAAGATAGGCTATGCCAAAACAAGACAAACTTTGAAACTTAATGATTACAGAGTAATCACTGAAATTGATCTTCAGCTAGAGCCATTATGTACAGAGGTGCATAGTTTAACTTTGTCAGGACTGTCATCATGATTATTATGTATTTTTTTGACATATTGTTTTATATTTTTTCTGAACTCGTTTTTATAATTTTTTATGTAGCTTCAGGTTCATCAGATGGTTCTGATAAGATGTGTAAACTTTTCTCTTCCATGTTTGTTTCTCCTGACGTGCACAAAAGTGAACCATCATTAGTTTCATACCTATGACGCTTAATCTTCTACTTTTTAATGTTACTGCTAAAACAAGTACCTAGTATTTTTCAATGCTAATGGAAGAGTTAAATCTTAATAGTTATACTGGCAACAATTTTTGGCTTCTGCCTTTTTGTTCCGCTTGGGGTCACTTTTGGTAATCCAATAAGTGCTTCTGCAACTTTTTTGGTGCTTTTCTTGCCTTCTACCTTTACTTTGAACTGCATAGTTTTGACTTTTGAGGATCTCTTATGGTAATGAAATTTAGGTACAATGATCCCTCTGATATAGTAGTACGTTGTTGTTATTGTTAAGTATATCATCATGGAGTTGACAGTTAAAGTTAAATTACATTCTCCTGCATTTACGTTTCAGCTTATTGCATACTTCGCAGAAAGATCGATATCAGCAAAAACTCTTGAACGAAATGGCATCATGCAGTGTAAACATGATGATCAGGTTTGATTGCAGAGTTTCAGTAGTTGCTTATCTTGATGGCAGGTTCCTTTTTACCTATCATGATAGTGATTGCAGTATCCTGTACTAGTTGCTCTCCTAATTTGGTTGTATCCCGCACAGATCGTTATTGCTTTTACTTACAGGAGAAATGCAGCTCTAGTAAGCTGCAAATACCTTGCATCCTCCAAAGAATGTTGGCAGGTTTATGCAGTGTCTTGTTAGCTTAAAAATAATCGTAGTCTTTTTTTCATGAAATACACATATAATCTGTCTTGCTATTTACATAATATTCTTTCTTTCCATCTACCAGGAAACGGGCACGGAACATATTTTTTATGGACTTGATGACATAAAGCAAGCTAGCGATGTTATAATTGTAAGTCTTTTAACTGTTATAGATATATTTGTACATTTTTGTTTAGTCAGATTCTTTCTTATATCCCTTGTTGTTTAGTCTCTTCTTTATTTCTTCTGTTAATGCAGGTCGAAGGTGAAATAGATAAGCTCTCTATGGAGGAGGCTGGTTTCCCCAATTGTATTAGCGTACCTTATGGACTACCTGCACAATCCTCCAAAGATCTACCTGCTGAGGATGAGGTCTTAACCAGACTTGAAACTAAAAGTGATCTTTCTTAGGTTTTTGAATTCTCTGATACTTATACAAGACTAGAAATGTTTTTGCCTTCTTAAATTTTTGTATTGTAGCTTGTTTAATTGTTTTACCTTTATGAGCAAACGTCATTCGTTAAGGCTTTGGCAACATTTACAAATCCTAAGCTTGCAACCTTTGGTGTTTTCTTTTTTGGGAGGATGGTGTCAAAGCAAACAGGCAACACTTGATATGTTACTTTTTATCTTTTGTTGTTACATTATTGAAGTTGTTTTCTCCAAGTTATTAATCCTTCCTGACTTTTCATCTCTTAGTGTGCAAAAGTAAGCTCACATCAAATCTCTTGTGCTTCACATATAGGTAGTATCTTTCATTGAAAATGACTCTGCACACTCCTTGACTCAAACTCTACTTGCATGTGTTGGTGCCTTATATCTAATGGTTTAGCATGTCTGAATTCTTTCCTGATTGCATAACATGCGGAACGATGCCCATGTTTATGTTACTTAAAAGATTTATGGCAATGTACTGTCCCTGCCAAGGATGGGAAAGGCAAAAGAAAAATGAAAACAAAAAGGTTCAAGCACTAGAAACATCGGAAAAGAATCTTGTTTAATTTTGTGTAATTCTTTAGATTCTGATTTTTGTATGTTGGTTATTTGCTGCTTTAAGCTTGTCTTCCAACGGTACACACATGCTCATGGGATTAAACGTATTCTGCCCTTATTAGTTGTTACAAACACATGACGACCACCATAAATGGAAGTACTGTTGACAAACAGGTAAAGTTAGAAAAGGTCTTGGTTTTTCCAAGATTGAGGAGAGGCTGAATATGGGATGAGGTAAAATAACATGAGATATTACTGTTTTGTGCACATAGGTGTTTTATGATGTGGATCTAGGTGGTCAGTTCGTATTTTCCTTGTACTTTCATTCTTGGGAATGGTAATCTTGCTCAGATACCATGCTATATCTTATAAGGAGGCAGGGAACTTGTTTCACTTTGTAAATGTTTTTTACATTATCGTGGATGTTTCTCGTTGGATCAAACCTTTTCCTCCATATGAGGGCCTTTTATGAGCGTCATCCATGCCAGAATTATATTGTAGTATGAGGTATGTGTGTGTGTGTGTCCACCATTCCCTTTTTTCTGAGATGTTAATGATTAAAAGTGAGCAGGGTTTGAGCTGAACTGATCAAGAGTTTTCAAACCTGCTAAAATTAGCAGGTATTGAAGAGACACTGTAAATGAGTTGGGTTTAGGTCCATTATACTAACTTAGCTAATAGGCAATATGGTGTGGTTTATACCATAAAAGCAAGCCATAATGTCCAGATGAATTTATACCAAGTATGGATATGGAGTTGAAGTTCAGCCAATTCAAGCTGTTAATTCAAGTAAAACGTGGTGGAACTATAGTTAAACTTTAAAGTGGTTCACATTTTTGTGATTGGTCATGTGATGGCTGGTGGACTTGCAGTTATCATATATCCTTGCATGTGCTTGGTTTGGATGTGGGCATGGCATAATGTACACTTGTGCTGGTGTTGTTTTGGAGCTGGAGCTCTATGCATCCTAGTATTATTGCATCTTGATCCATGCTTATCTCAAATACCCACTTATTCTGACCATTGGTGACTCTTAGTGCCGATTTAGTTGTTTAGATACATACTTTTCTTTTCAGGACTTAAACAGCCTCTAAGATAGCCATCGTATATCATCGAGCTTTCGATCATCTAGTTGCTTTAGGGTCCTCTTTCGACTGTTATTTGATCATTAGATACAGCTAAGACAGATGGCTTGAGAGCGAGCCTTGGTAGCATTAGGTTAAGTTGCCCTTTTTGTGATCTGGTCGACCAAAGTTCTCGTAACGGAAACATCTTTGTTTACATGGGTCAGTCTGTGTATATGGACCCTCATACACCCAATTAGGGGAGGCCTTGTACATTGGGCCCATGTCTAATATTTTTGAGAAGGCTTGCAATGTCTTAATGTTCTGTAGAACTAATCAAGTTAAACATCAATGTTGAGGTTTCGCTGACTTGCATATACAATGGGAATTTAGGTTTGTCTCACAATTTTCAGGACATCAAAAATTTTATTTATATTATCACATTATTTTGAAAATTAATTATTTTCCTTTCTTATCAGAGTGCTTTTCATCTGTTTGAATTTTTGGGTGTTTTAAGCTCTTTTGTATTATGGTTTCATTGGATTTTTATTTCTGATAATATGTCAGATCTAACATATTTTGCAATGTTCTTCACAAAGCTAGGACACCAAGTTCCAGTACTTGTGGAACTGCATAGAGTACCTAGAAAAGGTAGGTATCTTAGTGTTTAAAACATGTTAGCTTTGCTCTTGTCCTCAATAGGATACTTGTAAATTGCTTAGCTGATTTGAATTGAAATGTCATGGATAAATCTCTCAGGCATCTCGGATAATATTAGCAACAGATGCAGATGGCGATGGTCAAGCTTTAGCAGATGAATTAGCACGTCGCCTTGGTAAAGAAAGGTTTGGTCTCTCACCATCATCATTTAGGCATGCATGTCAATCTGTATTCTCATGTTTGTCTGTCAGGATTGATGATTCTTTATTTGTGTCTATATGTGTTTTGATTTAGCTTATAAACATAAGAATTACTTAATACCTTTTCATCATTTGGATAAAAACTAGGTGCTGGAGGGTGAAGTGGCCGAAGAAAAATGCTACTGAACTTTGCAAAGATGCTAATGAGGTTTGTTATGACTGTTTGAACTGTTGCCTCTGTTATGTTGGCTTCTTTGTTCTAAAGGTCGCAGATCAGGATCGGCATCAGTATTGATTATTGGCATAAACTCAATTTCCTTCTAGATTGGAATTTACTGAAAAAAAATCTAAAATTCGAAGCTGCTCAAACCATGAGACCTGGTTTGGGTGGTGCATGCTTACCAAATAATTTGCACGATCCATTTTTTTACGAAAATCATTACAAGTGTAATTTTTTTGGGGCACTCCTGGCATTCTATATCATATTTTATGGTGTTGATCTATCCATGTGTGCTTTGTCATTTATTTTAAATTCGTGGGACTAAGGAACTTTGTCTGTGCATGTGAATGCATTGTGCATTCATGCATGTCCATATGTTTGGCCAAACATTATACCTTCGATCCAAGGTGTCCACTGTAGGTAATGCCCTCTTTTATGGAGTATGTACGCCAAGTAAAAGGTGCCAACGAGTAGTATCAGATTGTTCCTACAAGCAAATGGAAACTTGACTGTGGCTTTTCTATCTTGTTGTCTAAACTTATGTTGTATCCTTTTCTTCAGGTTTTGATGTATATTGGACCAGATGAACTGAGGGATGTTATTGAGAATGCTGAATTGTGTCCTATAATGGGCCTATCTCACTTCAGTAATTTCTTCAATGAAGTTGATGAATATTATCACCGGAGTCTTGGATTTGAGCTTGTTTCGACTGGTTGGAGAGCTTTAGATGAATTATACAATGTAAGAATTTAACCTACATAACTTTTTCATGTTTTCTTATTTGAGATTATGCAGTTAATATCGTTTTCTTAAATGAGATGGTTTCCTTTGCCCTTTTGAAAGTACATTTAAGATTGGTATATTCTGTGCTACACATGTCAGTGATGTATAGCCAATAATCACTTTGTAGTTTGTTTCTAGGTGGCTGCTAATTGCATTGTATCCAATTATATGGTGTATTTTACTAATAGTGGATTCCAAAACTTATCATCTTGAAGGATCATACTGAGTGCATAATATTCTAGTTTAAGTGAACTGTATTTTGCAAATAAACTTTGTTTCTTTATAATTATCTAGAAACATTGACCCATCCAACTATTTCCTTTAATTTACCACCATATATATGTAAATTATATATATAAACTTTCATTGAACATTTGGGTGAAAAGCATGACCGCACTGGTCAAAATAATGGTATGATTTGATTGCTACACCTTGTGCCAACTGCCAAGCATGTGCAAGTACGTTTCTATGATGGTGACAAGACCAATGTTTAATATCATGAGTAGCAGGTTTATGGTGATAGCATAAAATGGTACAAATTGACCAAATGCGATGCTTGCTACTGGATTTATTGTTGTGTTATAGAGTAAATCCAGGAAATTATGTGCTGGCTGGCTAGCCATGATCATCATGAGGGTTCATACTAATTTGTGCTTTCTTCTTGCAATAACTTTACCTTGGTATGATTTTATGATCTCCATATTATTTAAATGTGTGTAACTACACTGGATTAGTATTTTAGACACTACAATTTAGTTGATAACTACCTTGAAAGTTTGACAAGATTTCCATGCTTTATTTTGTGGCTGGATATCGATCAAGCAAAACAAGAGCAACCTTACGCAAGTGTTTGAGGTTCATGAGAATGTAGTGAAAATCTCTTGTGAATCACATATCTTGTTCTTTATTTTCCCTCTTTTCTTCGTTATCACTGCTACAGAGATGACCTAGCATCTGAAAATGAGATCAGCTGTTGCATGGTATCTTGATTTGCATGGCACCTGTTATGACTCATGAGGGTTAAATGTGGAAGCCAACATTTGTAAAATGATATTGCTTAACCAGAAAAAAAGGTCCTTATCATGGTGCTAAGGCAGACATGGCCAAACTCTGGGTCAAATGTAAAATGCAATTCATGTTGAGGTTAGAGTACAACCATTTAACGAAATAAGAATAAATATAAAGAAGTTTGTGTTAATTTTTTGTTAACAAGCAAGTAAGCAATTAGTAAAAAGATATAAATTTTGTCGATACTGTCACTATGACTTACTACTGGATTTATTGTTGTGTTATAGATTAAATCCATCCATATTGAATCCAATTTATGATAAAAATGTTTGACTTTAGATATAATCTGACTTTCATCCTAGCTTACCAAAATCGTCAGCTAAATTCTAAAGTCTGTCTAATCTTGACTTTTTCATATATTTAGGATTGTTATAGTCATTATTTTTTAATTAGTCTGTCCATTCTAGGAGACGTACTTTTAGATGCTGAAGAAATCTAATCGAGAATGTCTGTTTACAAAATTTTTAATGCTTCTGGAAGGATTTTGTCAAACCTGATATTTTAGATGGGAGTTTTTGTTTTATTTGTCTCTTTTCAGCCTACTCAATCCTGAAATAGATTTTTTATACAACAACAACAGCCATATTTTTTATATATTTATAAAATCTTTTTTATCTGTATGGATTTTTAGATTGCTGGCTCTCTAATTCTAGGATGTGATATTTCTAATCTCATCATTGATTTCTATCTGGCAGGATTATGTTTATTTCACTTTTTTTATTTTTTTCCTACTGAATTCCGATCTATAAAGCTATTTGAAAGGCAACTAAATTTGATCTGGCAGTCTGGTGTTTGCTTTTTTCTTTTATTTTCTGGGCTTTCTTGTAATTAAAGAGGTATTTGATATATCCAAGTTGTTAATTACTTTGAAATCTGTAAAGAAATGTTAGAATATGATTATTTACAAGTCTGAAATTTGTTTATATTCTTTTTGCAAGACTTGTGTGCAGTTTTATATCTTTGCATGCTATTATTTTTTCCTTGAGCAGGTAGTGCCTGGAGAGTTGACTGTGATAACAGGTGTTCCTAATTCAGGCAAAAGCGAGTGGATTGATGCCCTGTTATGTAATATCAATGAAGCCCGTAAATGGAAATTTTTACTCTGCTCTATGGAAAACAAGGTCTGATTTGTAAATCTTCTAGTTTGACCTTGTGATTATACCAAGATTGTTGAAGATATTGGTCTTTAGGTTCGGGATCATGCAAGGAAGCTTTTGGAGAAGTACATAAATAAACCATTCATTAATTCAAGGTATAAAACCTTTCATATCATATGTGTCTGTCCACTGGTTACTTTGGTTCATTATATTGAATTATGAATGAAAGTTTTGTTGAAATTATTGGCAACAAAAAAGAAAAATATGAAAAATTTTGTCTTGTTGCTCCTGCAGTTAACGGAAATAGTCAAGTTCTTGTTGTTTCTTATTGCTCTCTGAACTATGAACCGGATCATAATTGTTGCTCGGAGAAGTACTCATCTTTATTTGGCATTTGGTCAGTGATTTAAAAAGCGCTATGCGCCAAAATGCGCTAAGGTCCAAAAACGCTCGAGGCGTTAGGCCCTCGTCCGAGCTAAGCGAGGTGCTAAAATATAAAAACATATAATATAATTAATAAATATAATTATTTAAAATTTTAAATAAAAATATGCTATTAAAAGTATTGAAAATTAATAGTATTGAAAATTAATCTATTATTAATCTATTAACAGTATTAAAAATTAATAATTTTAAATAAACCTAACAATATTAATAGTATACTGTTAACAGAAGGAGAAGAAGGAAGTGTAAGGGGGTGTTGACTGAGAAAAGAGGAAGCGACAGCGGGAGTGTAAGGAGGCAGAGGCAGCGGGAGCAAGAGTGTAAGGAGGCAACGATAGCGGGAGTGTAAGGAGGCGGTGGCAGCGGGAGTGTAAGGAGGCAGCGGGAGCGGGAATGTAATGAGGCAGCGATAGCGGGAGTGTAAGGAGGCAGCGGGAGCGGCGACAGCGGCGAGCGGTGACAGCGGCAACGGCGAGCAGCGGGAGGCGACAGCGGTGAGCAGCGGGATCGGGATCGGGAGCGGCAACGACAACGAGGGTTAGGGTTGGGTTGTCGCTGATATCGGTTTTAGTTGGTTCGATTGAACCAACTAACCACCGAAGACCGAACCAGACCTAAAATCCTGGTTCGGTCGCCTGGTTTAACCCAGGCGCTCGCCCGAATCACCTAGCGCCTGGGCTCGGGCGAGCGCCCAGACTGCGCCGCTTTGAAGCGTGTCGCCTGGAAGTTTAGCGAGGCTTTCGGGCCTTGCCTCGCCCGAGCGCCTAGGCGAGCGCCCGAGCGTCTTTGTAAATCGCTGCATTTGGTTAACCTAATACATCGCTGGAATTGCAGTGGAACTTAAGAGTAAAGATCGTTTTGGGTTGAAAACTCAAGTTCTATAAATTCATGTGGGCACTGAGGTTACAAGTTTGTAGGCTTTGAAGGAAAATGATGTATATAGGCCTGATGTTATTTCTAGTAGTCTAGTCAACTTATATGATCTCATATGCATGTCCGAGGGTGGGAGTATCCACAGGGATTGCATGATGAATCCAAGCTTATTGATTCACAGAATAAAGATCTGATTGACTCAAAATTGATTGACACTTTGTTTCTACTTGCATAATGATGAAAGTATATGCATGGAGATATTATCGTTTTGTCATCTTTATTCAGACCTTTTCTTGGAATTTTGGCTGTCTTTGGATTGTAGCTAAATATCTTAAAGTTCTGCATATCTTTAAGACCTTTTCTTAGAGTACTTGTGATGGGCAGCAATTCTTATTGGTACCATTTTAAGAAGAAAAAAAATACAGTTTGGCTGTCCTGGCTGCAATGGAAATTTAACATGACACCAAATTGTGAAATAGTTGTAAGGATGCAGTGGATTATTGAGAGTCGGGCCGAAATTAAATTGACTTTTTTATTGTCTAAGATTTTGTTTTTTAAATAATAATCAAGTTAGTATTGAGTTAATTTACTCAAAGCATACACCTGCTTAGTGATGGTGGGCTTTTGTTTTTTTAGTTGTCAAACTGTGCTTGCATTTTGTCTGTTTTAAACTTTAGCTGGTTTGATAACTGTCTTTTGTACCAACTTTTCTCTGTCGGATATCTAGATTCCTAATAATTATCTTCTTTTCTAATTTAGTTGCTTGTTAGTTCATAAGGTTCTGTATTATATTTTTCGTAAAGTAAATTATTATGTTTATGGCTGTGACAAGATATGGTGAATCTACTGAGCGAATGAGCGTGCAGGAATTAGAACAAGGAAAGAAATGGCTTAATGATACATTTTATCTAATTCGGTGAGTTATTACATGTAACCATGTTTGGTTTATCAGACAAGTTTTGTTAATCTTATTTTTTAAATACATAACGCTTTATATTCTCATATAACTGGTCCAGATTAAATAGGTGTTCTAGATATGTCTGAGTATGCATAAACCTCATTGGTGTATCGTTTCTTGATTGATTGGTAATTTGGATCATGGCTAGGTGTGAGGATGACTCCCTTCCATCTATCGATTGGGTACTTGAACTTGCCAAGTCTGCAGTTGTTCGATATGGCATCCGTGGACTTGTTATTGATCCATACAACGAACTTGATCACCAACGTTCTTCAAAACTGTGAGTGATTCTTCAACTATATTTTTGTTCACATTAACTGTTTCCTGCCATGTAAATCTACTCTATTTGGTTTAACATTTCTGGTAACAGAACAGAAACGCAGTATGTGAGCCATATGCTTACTAAGATCAAGCGCTTTGCTCAGCACCACGCTTGTCATGTATGGTTTGTGGCACATCCAAGACAGGTATACCTTCTAATGTATCCTATAATCTATTAATGTTCTGCTTCTATCATCTTCTTAATGTAAACATGTCTTCAGCTACAAAACTGGAGGGGTTATCCCCCTAATCTGTACGATATTAGTGGAAGTGCACATTTTATAAATAAATGTGACAATGGAATTGTCATTCATCGAAATCGGAATGCAAATGCTGGCCCCCTTGATCGTGTTCAGGTTAACTTGTCTTCCTTTGCAATCCATTAGTTTCTATTTTCCATTTTTTAATTTATTTGTGCATATTGTGTAGGTTTGTGTGCGGAAGGTGCGAAACAAGGTCGCTGGGAGAATCGGAGATGCTTTCCTCTCTTATAATAAGTATATTTCTATTATGATTATGAATTATATATTGCCCACTATGTTCTGTCAAAACCCTGTTACCTTGAAGTTCTTAAAATTCCTACTATTCTTTTTTAGATATTTTAACTTGGTTACACTAAAATGGTCGCTTGCAGCCCACGAAGGTCCATTATTGTTTCAGTCCACATCATATTCTTTTACTTTAGTATGGGTCTTTGTCATCTACAATTTGCCTTGTATTAATATGTTAAAAACTCATGTTAAAGTGATGTTAACAACGAAGTGAAGAGTGGTAGATGATGAAGCTTTCTTGTGCGACCTACTATTATATGTTTCTGGCCGATCATTGTGTGTACATGTAGAATGGAATCTTGCAATGCTTCTCCTTGCATTACGGTAGCAAGTCGAAGCATGAGCGACTCTGACCATGATACATCTTTGTGTGTTTTCACTATCCAAAAACCTCAATTGGGAATTTTAATCGACTGCCGTTGCTAACTGCAGTCTTTTTTTTTTTGGCAGAACCACAGGAAAATTCGAGGATTGGCATGATGGGGCTAGAACATTTAGGAAGCAACGAAGATGAGTTTTCTCTGTGATACTGCATTCATACACAGAATTCAGATGTTCTAGTTTTGAGGTCCATGCTGTAGCTAGAGCGCTAGAACGGAGAACAGTTTCGGAGCCCCAGTCAACCGTTGTGGGCTGTTCACTGTTTTTGGACGGGCAGTCGAGGCGTGGTCTACTTGTTCAGCCGTAAAATATTTTGTGGCTGTCCTCCGTTTGGAAGATGAAACCCTGTTGTTTGGCGCATTAAATTACATGTGTTCTCATAGGTAGGTGAAACGTTTGCTGATATAGAGAGTTCAATGTTACATGACAGCTTCCGAGTCTTATGAAATGTACAGGTGAAACTGAGAGATATCCACATATTAGGTTATGAAGAAAGCCTACATGCAAGGTATTATTGTATTTGATGAACGCTTAATGTGATTGCCTCGTGTCGTGGTCCTTCGACATCTCAGTCTCCATTATCCATACTGGTAATACTGGTAATGCATGTTTATGATCTTACTCCCCCAACGATGTGAAGAAGAATCTATGGCTCATCGAGAGACGGTGGTAGATCCCAATCTTGTGACATATACGAGTCGATAGAGACGTCCTTTTCTTTTGCTTTTACACCTCTTTGATGCTATCAATTCTCTGTGTATAATCTATGGTAGAAAGGTCAACCTCCCAAAACTATTTGCCCGGAGAGGGTCAACCGTCCGTCGCACGCCGACTGTGGGGTCCACGGATCTTTCGAAAACGCGATTCTCTGATAATTAGCCAATCCCCACCGCCATAAAAAGATAAGCAATCTGAGCTCAAGTATCCTTCCGACCTACCCGATCGCATCGTCTCACAAACGACTCCGGGCCCCACATAGCCGGACGCTAGTCTTACAATCGACACACGGGGTTGGCCAGCAGCGGGTACCGAAGAATAATAACATCCGGGAATCGAGGACAACGGCTATCAGAGGTGGCGTCATTTCATTGGCTTTTCCACCCTTTCCGTTCGGGTCCCCCGAAGGAAACAAAATAACAAACCATCCTTCTCTCCCTGTCGTTGTGGTGGCTTTTATCGGCTGCTCTCTCCCTCATATCCCCCCTTGCGATCGTGAAGCTGCCGTCCCATCCGCCGTCCACCATGACTTCCGAAGCCGGAGCCCCGACGGCAGCGGATCCCATCCAAGAGAAAGTTGCGGCCACGGCCGAGGGCGACGAGAGGCAAACAGAAGTGGTTACCTAGGTTGTCGCCGACGTGGAGGAGGAGAAGAAAATGCCGGAACCTCCGTCCTCGGACCCTCCTTCCGTCGAGAAGTGCTCCTCCTTCAGGGAGGAGAACAACTTCTTGTCGGACCTGAAGGAGGCCGAGAAGAAGGCGCTCATCCGCAGGGTTTGGCATTTCAGTCATAACAATTCCATGCAAAAAAACACAAAAAAAAAAAAGACCTCCCCTTCTATTGATTGTAGAGGAATTATAATAACATATTCTTATTCATGTAAGGCATAAGATCGAGTACCAAGTGTAAAGGTCACATCCAATCTAACCATCAAGCAGATATGCCCTCAACAAATATGGAATACTCATGAACCACACAATACATGTTGAGGAAATTAAAACTTTCAGGTGAAGCAATTTCTAAGAAGCCAATAGTTGGAATTATTGATTCTAAAGCCTTGATTAAACTATGTTCATTTGGCAAGACTTAAAACAATATATTAAGGCAAGTTAAAAGCATCAGACTATGCCCAATAATATATATACAATTGGGCATAGTCCAATAATATCCCTTTCATTCGAATCAGATATTGATGCATACCCAAGCATTTAACAGCACAGAGAAAAAGTAACATGATTAACATGATGCATAGGTCTTGTGGTCACTCCACAGTTTCAGGGATTCATGTAATTTTCCGATCATTAAAAAACCCAATAGTTCACCGGCCTGCAGGGCTTTACTATAACAAACAATTCTGTAGAGACTAAAGAGCCCGATGGATGATTCAAAACATCTTCCTGGAAAAGCATCTATTCACATAAGACATAAAATATGTAAAAGAAAGAAAGAACTAACCTTGGAAAAGGTACTGGCAAGCTCATAAATATCAGATGTGGCACTCAGATCTTCCTCCTGCAAATCGATAAGATTTTCATTAAAATTATGGCCTCAATAAATCACTTCTATTCTAATTGCCATTTGCCAGAGCAAAAACTGTCCTCAAATGAACCAACACTATAGGTGACACACTCATGAACAATATCAGTGTCATCTGTACCAGTGATATATGGTAACAAGCATATTTGTGCATATCCCAAGGCAAGAACATTAACCACAGATAACTAGATTGGAAAGATGGAAAGTTGCTTCACAGATAGATATTAAAGGTCAAGAGGGAACAGTACTAGAAACAAGAAAGTGATGCTAATTGTGATGGTACTAATTGACATATATAATAAATCTTAGTCGACATTGGTCAAGCTGTATCCAATCTTCACATGATAGAGATATGCTATTATGGTATTATTGAGCTGCATACTGTTGAAAGAGCAGTAGGCTTGAAAGAATAAACATCAGAAACATCAATCTCAAAACATCATCATTAACAGAGGAACTAAGGTTGGTGTCAAATGAGTCAAATAAGATGGTGTAAATAGAAGGGAAAGCTACTAGACACAATAGAACAGACATTGTATCTGTAAAATAGTAAAGATGATGCCGAAAAATTTGTTCTAAACCCCCTAACTCAACTTCCTCCATGATACTTAATAAGGGACCATTTGGTCGGTCGGCCATTGGTGCGGCCCGTAGACTCACGAAGAATTGTCCGTTTTGGGCGATGGGCGTACCCACACGGTTTTGTCCTTTCGGAGCATGCAAGCTCTAAAAGGCACCTCTATAGGTAAGAAAGACCTGACGGACTTATGAGCCATTTGTTCCCATACTCCTCAACCAATGTGGGACTAAATGGCCTTATCAGTGCTTCCTCCTGTAGGGGAGCCAATGACTCTTAACCAAGATGCACGGTTCCGGAGCAAGTTTACTCGACCGAGGTGCAAGCCTCGGGCCCTTATTCTAGCACCAATCTGATAAGGGATCATTTGGTTGACTTGCCATTAGTGCGGCCCATGGGCTCGCGAGGAATTGTCTGCTTTGGACGATGGGCATACTCATATAATTTTGTCATTTCGGAGCATGTGAGCTCCAAAAGGCGTCTCTGAAGATAGGGGAGACTTGGCGGACTTATAAACCTTTGGTTCTCATACTCCTCAACCAATGTGGGACTAAATGACCTTATCAGTGCTCCCTCCCGTAGGGGAGCCAATGGCTCATAACCAAGGTGCACGGCTTGGGAGTGAGTTTGCTCGGTCGAGATGCAGGTCTCGGGCTCTCCTTCTAGCGCTAATATGATAAAAGACCATTTCTCGATTTGTGCGTGTCATCCTTGCGCAAGGGGCATGCTAATTTTCTCTGTATTGTCCCAAATTTATTGGATGTCTCCGAAGAGACCATTTCTTCAAGTTTGGGAGCTCACATGCTTCGAAAGGACAAAACCATACGGGTACGCCCATCGTCCAAAGCGGACAATTCCTCGCGAGCCTACGAGCTGCACCAATGGTAGGCCGACCAAATGTTCCCTCATCAGATTGGTGCTAGAAGGAAGGCCCGAGGCTTGCACCTCGGCTGAGCAAACTCGCTTCTGAGCTGTACACCTTGGTTATGAGCCCTTGGCACCCCCCTATGGGCGGGAGCACTAATAAGGTTATTTAGTCCTACATTGGTTGAGGAGTATGAGAACCAAGGGCTCATAAGTTTACCAGGTTTTTCTTAGCCTCAGAGACGCATTTTGAAGCTCACATTATCCGAAAGGATAAAATCGTGCGAGTACATCTATCGCCCAAAGCAGATAATCCCTCGCGAGCCTACGGGCCGCACCAACGACCGACCAAATGATCCCTTATCAATTGCTAAGATTAGCATCATATTCAACTCTACGAGTCAGGAATAAAGTATATAGATGCATTGGCTACGGCGAAATAGAAAGCCAATCAGATCCTTAAAAGTACAGGATAACTGCTTCACGTATAGCTTGCTTAACACACCGAGCCTACTCATAAACAAATATTCTAAATTTAGACAATTGGCCTACTTTATTTACTATATACAAAAAGTCAGGTTTTCATGACGCGGTGTCCAGTATTTCGATAGCTGCTCAATTCTAAATTCGAGACCGTGCAAACCACGAAAAATCACACCAACAAGATCAGAAAGCAAATACCATAAAAACAAAAAGAAACAGGAATCAGCATTCGGAGAGAAAAAAGATCATTTATGCATCTCTTTTTGATAAGAATAAGAGAAGAAGTTCGTGATTTTGACATTAAAATAAAAGATGGATCCGCCACTCCGAAGCCGGTCACCTGAGGCAAAAGATCCAGCACAAAACTCAACGAAGAAGCGGCCTCGCACATCCCTTTTAACCCAGTCCTACCGAACGACTCCGTCCTCAAGATCCAATCCTTCCACCAAATCAACCCACAAAACCAAATCCGAAGCACCAGAAAAAGACCTAAATTCGAAGGCAGAAGAAAAAGAAGAGAAAGATCTCACCTGCAGCGCCGTCATCCTGTCCTCCGAACCCATCACCGACGCCCGGGTCCTGCAAGTCGCCACCCTCCCCATCCATCGCCGCCGCCATAGATAAAAACCCTAGTATCTGAAATCGCAACAACAAAGACAAGGAAAAGGGAGCAAGAACCCTAAATTCGAATCCGCCCTAGGGTTTTCTGGCCAGAGCTGAGATCTGCTAGCAAGAAGGATCCAAATTTCGATGCCCCTCCGCTAGTAGTATCCAAGATTCGGTAGAACTCCAACGGAAGGAAGAACAAAAATCCAATGGCAATGTGATCTACTATCAGAATCGGCAAATGATCGAATCCAATAGGTGAAGCCGACTGCGTGCAGGGTATCGAGCTGTGCCATATTTTAGGAGCCTATCGATTGATTAGGAGGAGGAACTCTATCTAAACCAAAGCGCTTTGTCTTGCGAGCATAGGTTGGTGTTCTGTTGGCACCGCACTGCACTGGCTATGAGATCATATGGGAGTTGATAGAAGCTCAAAACCCTAATCTCAATGTTGGATAATGCACATCCATTGGTCGGAAGCAAATGCAGTCAACTCTTTTATACCTTTTCCTTTTTGTCGTCTCATGCAGTCAACTCTTTTATCACATTCATTGTGCTGTTGGCTTTCATGAGGATTCGAGTCGCAGACAAACCGCTTGTAAGCACGCATAACTTATATTTACATTTATGGGACCGGATTGATATCCTGTTGGATTCGGATTCGATCCGACCCGCTAACATGCCCACGGACCCACGAGAGAAAACCCTAATGAAACCCGGCCCCACTAGCATCTCCCAAATCCTTCTTCGCCCTTTGTCTAGCCGACGAGAGCCGAGGGCTGGTCGTTGACGTAATGACCCCCTCAGTCGCCTGCCGCTCTCTACGAACCCTCCTCATGGACGGGTTCGAGTGCCTCCCCGTGCGATGCTCCGCCTCGGCACCCGCACCTGCACCTTTCCTCCCTCATCGCCTTCTCCGTCTCCTCGTCCACCTCTGCTCTGCAAACCCACGGCGTCCCGTCTCCAAGAATCTCCCTTTTTGTCAGAAATCCTCTGGTTTTTGTTCTTATTCCTACCGTCCACTCGTGCCTCGGAAAGCTGGTATGAATCTCTATGGTCGAATCTTTTTTTCGTTCTGGAGTGTGGCTTTTCTCGGTTCTTTTTTCTCTGGCTTTGTAAGATGATTCTATTGCTTTCTAATGGTTCGGTTGAAGGTGCACTGCCAGCAGTCCACCCTACGGTCCACAAGCGGATCGACTATTTGAAATCAAAGTTGGAGGAACAAGGAATTCGGTGTGGTAGTGTCAAGCCCGGGAAGTATTGTCGAAATTTATGCCCAAAGGTGCCTCTTTTACCCCTTTCATCCAACATTCATTCGTCCATCCTATTCTTGGTATTAACTTCCCCTTAGTATTCTTGACAATCATAGGATTCCCTCGTTTCTGTGTTAATGTTTACAACAATTGCCTTTTCTGGCTCAAAAAATTAGAATTGGTATCAACGATGGCATTTGTGATAAGTAGAAACTAGTTTCTTGACGAAAGAAAATTCATCAGACATATCATGTCATGAAATGTGTAGGAAATCTATATTTTGTTTGCTACACTGCAACGCTGACTCAAACCACCCTTATTGCGGTTCAACTTCTGGGGTACATGAAATTAATAAGTTTCAAGTTTGGCGCACGCCCTTGTTTTTTTTTGTACCAATGTTGCGTCATTTTCAGTTTACCTTTCTGATTGTATTTTCTTGTTGTGTTAGCTCTCCTTACTCTACCCTATGGGAAAGGATCCGGTATTAGCTTGTGACAGCCCAGCTTAGCACATGTTTAGTCTAATCTAGCCAATACACCCTTCGGGACAATCTTTAACCGGAAAAGCTTTATCCAACTCGGATTCGGAAAGGTGGATGGCTCATAGTTTTCGAGAAGGAAAGACAAGTTGTCTAACAAACGAATGATGATTTTAGCGTCTCCTCAAGTTATGACGGATGATCAGGCCATGTCTATTGGAAATTAGTACTTATATGCTCCAGTGGATTTCAGATTGATTTTGCTTAGAACAGCTTGTGATTTTGAAGAACAGCCATGGTGGCCACAGTGAGTGTTTGCAAGGCCCAAAATATGCTACAATATGGTAGAGACTAATTGTTGTTTGGGACTATGGCAGCCACTATAGTGGAAGTTTGGCTGCTATTTTTCTGCTCCAAAATGGGCTCGTAGTGACTGGATTAAGCATGCATTTTTAGGAAATTGGTCTAGCTTAGCTTGTAAACCAGCTCAGGCCGAGTTAACCAATCAAATTTAACTCAAGCTACTGAATAAAGTTACTTTTCAACCCCATAATTTTGCCTTACCATAACTATGTATCTGAATCTCACTCATTTCTATCAATGTGTGGATGGTGGTTGATAATGTGAATATATATATATATATATATATATATATATATATATAATAA